TGGTAACGTAGTTTTCATATAACAGATCACTTTCCACCTGCTGTCGGTAATTGTTGTTATATAACGCCTGGGCACAGTCATCCAGGGCCGACAGGCGTATCATTTTTTAAATACGCGGCCGTTGACCGACCTACAGGAAATTGCAGTTGCTGTTTACTTCAGCCATGTCGTTCATTAGCCACCACAGGCATGCCTTCGAACGCGCTGCCAATTAATAGCCATGTCTCCGTTTGTGGGGTCTGCTGCCGTTGCCTACGAAAAATGTTGCATTGCGGTAAGTGCTTACCCGCGAAGGCAGGTGAATTGTCGAAAGGCATGGCGGCACTGGTGTCTAAATGCTCAGACTCAGATTCCTGAAACAATGTTAGGTACCCCAAATGTATGGCATACGGGGGAAGTATAAAAGTGCGGCATGTTCTCGGTGATCCTCTTAAGTAAGGAAATCTTTTCTTGTCCTTCAGGGACGCCAAATTTTTCTTTCTTCGTCTGACATAATAAGCTACAATCTAACGGGAAAACGCGTCTGTACACAATGCTGCAGACTGGTGGCTATCGCTAAGGGACCATTGGGTTCGAGAAAATGGTCCCCACAGAACAGTATAAAAGTCACTTAGGAGGAGTACATCGATGCGTGGCAGCTTATGACCTCTAACATCACAATGGCAAAATGAGCAGTTTTATGACATGTTTCTGTTACTACTGGGAACTCATCTCTGGTAGCATCTAAATATCCGTATTAGTTAATTCGTTCTCTTGTTACTTCCCGCATCATGGTCAAATGTCATAATAATTGAAAATTGCCCGAAAGTATGCTATTTTATATTCTCAAGACCGCTCTCTCTTTTATTACTGAAATTCATACGCAGAAATACTTTCCCTTTAGTGTTGTGGTTGTTTCTCTTTAAGTGATTTCACATTATAATTCGCCTCTCTACCCTCTTCTCAAAGTGGCTTCTTTATTAGGCGCTCTGTGGTTCATTGGACAAAATGAATGACCACCCTACAACAGAGGAAACTGGCTTCCATCTCGACGCTTCTCATCTGAATGACAGCTTTGCCGAATTTCTTTCTCCTGATCCCGCTACTGATGGTGATTCCTCGGGACTCTCCACACACGTGCAAACAATTGCCCGCCGTGTATATCAGGAGTTTGAAGCAGTTCTTGAGGCGCATGGACCGGCTGTTCTAGAACCTCTGATGCCCATTATGGTTAGCGTCCTAGAGAAGCTGGACGAACTCTTCAAAGATCAATTTGCATACAGAGCGGAAGTTTCGCAGCTTCGCGAAGACAAGGCTTCTCTAGTCGCTGAACTTGAACGCGAAAAAACTAATAGGAAGGATGCAGAGGATGTAAGGCCTTTTTTTTTATTAAACCGTATATACGCAAATTCTTCGTCGTAAAACTTCGTTGAGTCTGTCTTAAAACCATCTAAATTGCTGTTTATTGCGTCCAATAATCTAAATCCGGTCCCGCTTATACTGGTTGCGTTTTTTCGTCAAGCTGCGATTTCTCAGAGCTTAGCTTGCTAGCGTCTATGCAATGCATATACTCAGTGCGCTTTAAAGAAGCAACGTCTTATGGTGACCGACTCTGCGTATACGCCCGCGCCTGTTCGCTAGTATAAGGTGAACATGAATGAATAAGAACCATGTGAAAGCCAGATATCGTCACTGTGATTAGTTGACCGCCGGCTGTGCTTGATTCTCACGGATGTAGTGTACATATGTCGTGACTGGTTGGTTTTCAGACCTTGTACTGGATAATCCTTGTTTATTTCTGTGCTTCGGTTTCCTTCACATTTCTTTGCTTATGCACAAAGCTCAATTCACTGAAATTTCGTCGATATCTTCCCCTACTCCTCATTTTGTCTTATCCCATATGATTTCGCTACTGGCCATGTTTTGGATTGTTTACGCTTAAAAAGAAGATGTGATTCCTGGGACTCGCATGTTCACTTCTATTGGCAATATATATATACTTAGATTCTTCGTAGGAAAATCTCTTTGAATCTATCTCAAAATCATCTGAAATCGCTGGCTTATTATTGCTGTTTACAGCGTCCAATAACCTTTGTCTGGTCCAGCTTATACTGGTTGCATTTATTTGTCAAACTGAGCTTTCTCAGAGCTAAGCTCGCTAGCCTCTAAGTAACGAGTATACTCAGTGCGCTTTAAAGGAAAAGCAACTCATGACCGACTTTGCGCGTGCGTCCGCGCCTCTTCGTTAGGCTGAGGTCAGCGTGGATGAATAAGAACGGTGTAATAGCCAGATATCGTCAGTGTGATTAGTTTATAGTCGGCTGTGCCTGATTCTCACGGAAGTTGCTTACACGCATCTACCCGTATCTCGGGGGTAATGGTCACATGTTACTTAACGTGGCGTAGGTGCGGAAG